AAAAATGGAATTTTATTAATACATTTGTATTTTCAAATATGGTTACAGGCTTAAAAAATATTTGCAAAGCTATTGATGCGACGATTTACTGTGCAATTCCATTAATTATCCTGATATTTACGATAGAAACTTGAACGCGTCTCTCTAAATATGCGATGAAAGGCATGTAAATTAATAGAGCGACAAAATCGCGTAGAGACAACGTGCCTATCCAGTACTTCGGAATGTTTGATTGAATATCCGATTGCAATTATCATATTTAATCGTGCGCGCTATCATGTTCATTTTCGATAGTATGATCTTTACAATCCATGAATAATGTTGTTATGCAACCACAATCAGTTTGTTGAAATTATCATAATATTATGAAGTTAATATATAAATTATATACAAGGTATTCTGGACTGGTCATTTTTTATCTGTAAATCTTTTGAACAATAAAGATTTAATGGATTTTTCCTTAAAACATCGAAATGTTTTTGAAAAATGATAAACGAATTCTTTAATTTTAAGTAATAAAAAATAAAAAGCTTTCGAGAAACTAAATTTAAAAAACAATAAATATTAAAATCTTATTCTTTGTTGAATTTCGATTGTTGTATGAAGAGATTTATAATCTTTAAGAATTAAGTAAAATGAAAAAAATAAAAGCATGATAATAATCTTGCTAAGGAAAATTAGATTCTAAGTTACTCAAAGAATTTACAGTAATTTCAATAATATTACGTACAAATCGAGATGTAATTTTTTTTATAATGACAGCGAGTGCATAAGCTAATATCGTGCAAGTATTTGCATCATGTATGGTATATAAGTATTATAAACATTATGTCTGCTAGCAAAGGGCCTTTATAATCATAAGTTCCGCGCGATCTGATTAAGATATCACTCGATTATGATGATTACCTAAGTAATAGCTATAGAGCGTACATAACTATTCTGCTAACAGATTTGACCGTGAGAGATTTCGTTATACGAGCATAATGTAATACAGACAGCTATTAGTTCACAATTACCTGCATATACCTCGAGATATACAGCACGTGGTAGCAATTTTTGTAAATTATAATTCTTTTATTTTATGGCTAGATATTTTTCACGTGATATGCAAATTACCATTCAATTATATACGTGGTATTTCAGAGTTGCATTATAGTACAATTTCTATGTCATTGGTTATTGCGATAGAAAACGTTGCGCGAATGAAACTGAGTAATCTAATACATTTATATTAAATTATAAATGTATTGTTATTATACGATAATAATTTTTTATTCATACGTACAGAAAATACTTAACTTGTAACATCTTTTAATAACTCTCGTTAATCTCCTTCATAGTATTGCTAAATATGTATTGTATAAGCAAATAGATAAAACGTACAGGATATGCATTCTCTTCAGGTTGTTCTAGCACGGATGTAGATATGGAAAGTGCGAGTCAAGGATGTAATTCATTTAAAAAGATTGCATCTCTTTTCTCTATTTTGTGACAATTACGTTACGTTTGATTGACGTCACTATAGTTTTGGCAGCATTCAACGATAATATAGTATACATTTACATTTAATTAACGACTTACATCATTTATATATTAATTATGTAATACGATAATTGTACATGTAGATAAAAATATCTTGTCGTCAACATTGCAAAATATTTTTTTTTTATTTATAAATACCATAGATGTAAAGAAAAGATGTATAACATAAAATTGTATATGATTAATTTATGATGTAAATAGAAATGTTAACAAAAATACATAAAAGGCAATTAAGTAAATCGAATCAAATATCTGTTGTTAACTAGATATTCATTTTATTAATCAACCTTGGTATTTTTGAAACTATTTATAATAAATTGTTGAGTCTAAATTACATATAAAGGAAATTAATTTTATTATATTACTGCGGGAATGTAACGTTTGGTGGTATAATGAAGTATATTAATTCCATTGTTCATGCGTTATTATAAAGAAATTGCTTTAATTGTTTCAAACGGATTTTATATTTAATCTATTATACATTATTCTATATAATTGTAATAATTACATGTACAAAATGTGTTACTTTATATGTAAGTCCAGCTTTAATCTACTTTGATATTAATTGTGTTCCACTAAAATTATGTTCCAAGACTAACAAATAATCGACGCACAGTTTGCTTGAACGGAAAATTATATAATATCACAAAAAATATTACTGGGTACGAAGATCGATTTTGACCGAATACGGTGTTTTCCATTCATTTATGTTTTATAAGTTAATGCACTAGTACATTAAAAATGTAAGGCAAATTTGTCAGCAACGATTAAAGAATCATTAATCTTTTGAAGAAACACCAAGGTCCTTTGCGGTAAGTATAAAAAAATAATTGCAATTCCACGCAATAATTAATTCCTATAGTAATTTGATAGGCGTATTCTCAAACGCTGATATAACGATCCTGCAGGCGATAACGATCCTGCTCGATTGACAAGTCTGATAAGCCTTCATATGTATGTTGTATTACCTCGCAAAAACCTTATATTATTGCGCATATGTTACATTCTAACGGAACCCTATCGATAACTGTACGTATGTTACCGACTTTATTAGATTTTAGAGTTAAACTAATACATAAAATGTACAAATTAATTAATTTATAAAAGTTTTGTTTTTAGCACCTATTTTATTTTTGCCTGTCATAATATAAATATCAATACCAAAATATATTACGGAAATAGATTTCATATCCTTCGAACATTGCGCAATTGCACTTTTTATTGCAGGTTTTGCAGGAAAAATGTACGATATGGTTAAACGATTATCGAATGGGTGTGATATAGAATTATAAATTGAATGTTTCTGATTTTTACACGAAAAATATATTCCAAACATGCATCTTTATAGTTACAGGAAACATCCTAAATATCAAAATTAATTTTTGCCATTTTGTATCCAAGAGCTTAACACAAAGCATCTTTTTTTTTATCTTACACGCAAGCTTTATTTTTTATGCTGAAGTCTGTACATTGTAACGTGATTGCACAACGATACTTTTTGCATGACTTGTTTTCTGCTCTAATATGGTTGCTATTATACATTATTAAATATTCATCTATGTACGTTCTATCTTTTTTCCCACGCTGACTAGAATAAAGATATTTTTAATGGAATATATTGATTCTGATTTAATGTATATCAATTTATCAATACCACCTTCGACCATTTCCGCGGTCTCAACAGTTTGCTCTTCGTAAAAAACAAGAAACAAAAATGCCTTTTATATCATAAAATACGAGAACGTGAAATTATTACGTGTATCAACATAGCGCTTTTATTATCACTGTTAAAATACAAATTGTATTTCTCCCTTCTTCTTCGCGAAATGTTTATATCTTTATAATATTCTATTACTGTTAGGTAAAAAATAAAAGAACGAAAAAACTATAATAATGTACTTCAATGCACAAGAACATTAATAAAAAAAAACAGAAAATAAATACACAATAATAATAGGTAAATTTGAAAACTTTGCGACCTAACAATAAAAGCATACAGCTTTAGATATCAAATTTATATTTTTCAATATGGTCTCCTTCGATTTCAGTGCATCTAGCGATGTTCCAGTGCTTTTATGCGATCACGGAAATTCGTTTTTCTTCAAAATAATTGTTTATTATAGCTCAGTTTTCTTGACTATTGTATACGATAGTGTATTCAATACAGTTTTCATCTCTTTAAACATTTTTATTAGTATTAAGCCTTTTTTTAACAAAGAAACTTAATCATAGCAGTGTTCCATATCATCTATTTATATGGATATCAATACTGTTTTGTTCATAAAATAACAACAAATTACTTAACAATTTGACAACAAATTACTTAACGTAGAGTCACCGATACCGACATACCACTTTGTTTTTAGACAATATTTCTTAAACGAAAGATAAAAATACAACTTCAAAAACATAAATACAAACTAAAAAGTGTCTTCTATCAGATAGTATATAACAGTTTTTATAATACTGTTTGCAATTTTGCAATAATTAAGTTTTTCGTAAGTTATGCAAAAATGAGCGTCTGACAAAATGGGCTCCAAAACTGACATAATAGACAATAATGCCAACATTCTATAAATAAAAATATATCCTATTCTGTAAAGAAAACTAATTTATGAAACTATAAACATTTAAAATAACATAATATTATCAATAATACAGTCACCATTATTTTAATTACGCAATTTGCAAAAGAACCATAAGAATTTTCTTCTCAGATTCATAGAATTTGTTTTTAGCTGATTTGATATAGAAATAAGCCACAAATATATGAATTATGAGTTTGTACTTCTTTAATTAGCTAAACAGATCACGTTTTTATTAGTATTAATAAGGTGCAAAGGTTAGTTTTTAAGAAATAAGGGGATGTCGCTTTAGGAGACCTATGTCAGTATCGGTGATCTTCCTTTATAAACTGTTCCATATGTTTCACGTTTCAATCGCACTGTTCTTGCATACGATCGTAAAATGATTGCATGATAATTCTTTGCACTCTTTTATATGATTTTTTTATACGATTTGTTACTCAATTAATGATTGAATATTACTCTTACATTAAATATTCATATACCTTGTTTTTATCCTGTTTCTTTAAATCTATAACAGCATATTAAGCTTTTATGCATCTCAATTTGGTGTTATAATAAAAACAATATAATATAATTTCTATTATATCCAGTTTATAATTAAAATTTACAAGATAACATATAATTATTATTTAATATTTATAAATTTATAATTTATTATATTGCATTTACAATAATGTGTAATGTGTTAAGAATAAGGATCCATTGTTTGTGTACAAATCATATAAGCATACTAAATTGTTCTGCTTTCAAATATTTGGCCATAGTTTGCTTAGTGAAATAGAGTTTATTGCTACTCGATGTTTCCTTCAAACAGTATTCGTGCGATCGTCGCGTTACACGTTATCATTTACGAATTATAGTGATCGTAAAATGGCGATTTGGTGTTTCAATAAAACAATAGCTTGTGGTACAATAGCATCTGTTGCTTTAGTCTATTATATTATTGTATTACATAATCGCAAGGAAAAGAAGGAAACGGACAGTAAGTTAGAATATATTTATTCAATTAAAATCTGCTTTCACATTTTTTTATTTGAAGTATTCGTCGAGTAGTATGTAACATGGATGAGAAGATCAATTGTAAATGCATAAACGATCTAATTGTAATATTTCTTATTTAGAGGCCGATCATAATAAAGTTTGTGAAATTAAAATAACTAACACATCTTCGTCTAATATACATAATAAAAGACAAATTTCTGCTAAGAATACTGCAGCTAATCCAGATATTACGCCATTGATATCAAAAGTTAAACAAGTTGTTTCCTCGTTGCCAAATCTAAGTACATCTAATCCAGTAAAACCGCCACGAAATAAAAGATTGGACCAGATACCATCAAAAACTATAGAAGATCGTAATTTAATTATGCAAAAGAATGCCAAGTAAGACATCGCTTAAATCATTATAATAAATCATTATAAATTTCAATTCTAATTATTATTTCTCATTCGTAGTTAATTAGTTCCTAGTTAATTATTTTTAATAATTATTTCTATAAAAGTCATGAGAATTATCAGCTGGAATTTATCTATCTAATTTCTTATTAATTATACTGAGAAATAATTTATATATTGTATAACAACATAATGATTTAATAATAATGTACTGTGAAATTAAACATAATAAACGTTTGTTTTACATACCATATTTCTCTTAACCTAAAATCTTTAAATAAGGATAATAACGATATAATAAATTACAGATGCTTTACATACAATGAATCAAGCGATACAATTATCATAAATAATTCACCTTCATCTTTTAAACATGGATTTAGCAATGCTAAAGATAACTTGACACCAGTAGTTATTCATATTAATAATTCAATAAACTCTACAAATAATAAAGTTCAAATAAAAGTTTCCAACAGTCCGGTAAAACTATCGACATTGAATATGAAGACAGTATATGCGTCTGATGATTTTTGTACTAATTGTAAGAACAGGTAAGATTCTCTTTTTAATTATTAAACAAATTTAAAATTATACACGCTAAAGAGGCTAATTAAAATTTTCGATTGACACAGATTAAAAGTAAAGTAAAGTAAAACTTATACATGTAGATATGTTATAGAATATGCAAAACTGTTTTGTATGCTATCCTGATATTATAAGAAATCTGAATCAAATAACTCCTTATTTATATGAATTCTATGCTTATATATTCATATTTTCGCAATCGATTTAAATATTTAATTTTTAAACCTTTAAAAAAAAATTTTGTTTTTTTTACATGACTTAAATCATATCTTATTTTGCGATTTATAAATTCGTGACATTTCACTGAAAAGATTAAATTAAAAAACAAACTAATTTATTTAATATTGAATATTAAATTTATTTTTATTAAATATGTATTATTAAATATATATTAAATATTAAGATATTTAAGATATTTATATTTGAGATATTTAAGATATTTATATTTGAACTGAAATATACACATATACATATATGCTTTTACATTTTTAAAGATTTAGATGCTTTACATTTTTTAAAGACATTTTTCCTACTTGAAAAGAAGATAAATTTTTATTGTATGTGCTAAGCCACATTGAATCAAATTATTGTTTTAAATTGAATATTTTAATTTTTTGTTTTATTATGATAAGAAATATATATTTATTATTACGTTTAGGTCCGCCAGTTTGGCCAAGATCAACCAGAAAAATGAATCTAAAGAAATCAACATTAAGATGCCATCGTTTAATCGTCGACGCCTTGTAGAATATTTTATGACGTTTCGTAGAAATCGATTAACGAATGCACACGATAATAAATGTACAAAGGAAATAGAAAGAAATAATGTAACTATTATAATCAATGCTTCTACGTAAAGAAATAATAATCGCGAGAAACGTATTTTTTAAAGATTACAGCATTTTTAAAAATTTTGTATTTTGAGATGACGGTACAGCTCTTTTATTTAAAAAAATTAAGAAAATCGTTTAATTATGCTAGTTTTTGTACAAATTAGCAAAAAAATTTTTTTTTTTACGTAGAGAAAGAGAGAGAGAGAGAGAGAGAGAGAAAGCGACTCTCGAAAAAGACAGAACACGCAAAGTACAATATAATCGCGTAAATATATATTTTAATTTTTACTATGTAATGTTATATATTTGAAATTCATATCTGTAATATCGTTTATTGTAATAACGCCAATATGCAAAATTCTTCTATTTTAAAATGTTATTTGTTATATTTATTATTTATGATCTACATATATCTACACTTTAATATGTTCTCTTCGAGGTTCTTTTGTAAGTTTTATGAAAGTTTTATAAATATGTCGTATATAACTATCGTCGTTCAAAAATAATATTTTTATAGATTCGTATATTTATATTATATTGTTTATAAAATTTTGATTAAGATTATATTTATTTTATATTTATTTTCGTTATATTTAAATCTCGTTATTTTCGTAAATATAGATACAAATTTCTTAGTTATTCTTATTACACATGTCGTACAGAATATATATTTATATTTAAATATGCTTACGAAAATTTTCAATCGCAAGTTCTAATAAATATATATTCAAAGACAAGAGCAAACATTTCAAATATTACATTACGATAATAGAATTTTCTTGTTTTTATTAAATGCAAATAAATACATCTGTAAATAATTATATATATTTTTTTATTATGCAATTGATCTACGTTTTAAAAATCTTAAAATATAATATGTCTTTTTACATACAAAAGTTTTTGTTATAAAATCGCAATATAATTATTTAATTATTATGTTTTATGAAAGAAATCATTTTATTTTTATTTTACTTTATACATATTTTCAGTGCAATTATTTCTCTCTCTCTCTCTCTCTCTCTCTCTCTCTCTCTCTGTCAAGTATAATTTTACATTCTCATATATTATCGCGTTACTCATTAAAATATTATATGTATTATTGTTACATGAAAAATTAATCCTTTGTGGTCACATTTCTTAAAAGTTCCGTAATGATTACCCCGGGATCAAAATGACTCCAGAACACATTGAGCCGATTGCTGTGTTCAAAACTTTCATTCTATGAAATTAAAATATTATTGGTTAAATGCGTTCTGGAGTTATTTGGACTTCAGTATGACCACGAAGGATTAAATTAGATATTATGATACATATTTTGGATAATTTTTTATTACATATTTTATTGATAATTATTATACTATTTGTTCTTTTTGTAGTATTACATGTTTTTAAAATAACTATAATTATTTTAAAAGAATATCTAGAGATTTAAAATTTTATCGCGTTTATCTAAAGGTGTATGTGTGGTAATTAATTTCAACAATACTATAAATCGCGAACGTGTATACGTACGAAACGCTTCATTATCCAAAATATATAAGTGTAGTGTGGATTTAATGTAACATTCAATAAGTCGATTTTTTATTTGTGCCAATTTCCTAATGGAATAAAACTAGTATTTTATAGGCATTAAAGATTTAAATATTTAATTTCTATACAATAACAATTTCAGTATAAGCTATTTTTAAAAAAAGAAGTGGGCAATTGTAGACGAGATTTGTGATATAATTTCTATTCACGTATTTTCTATATGTCCTACCGATCGACATTGATATAATCTGTTACTATATAATTACCGAGTTTATTCACTCGTTAAATGCGATACGACGTGGACAGTATTAATAGCTTGAAATGTCTATAGCAAATATCTGCTAAATTACACATCATTATTTAACTCATAAAAAAAGCATGTGTTTTTATTTACACAGTTGGAAAAAAATGTGTTGAATTTAACATAAATCGCAAATACCAAACGGTCCACTCAAATTTTTGGGTTAATTTAACACAAAATGAATATATTCGGAGGTTACACAAACATTATGTAAAAGAATTCATACCAAAAAGGTAATTTCGACACAGTTTATAAATAAACCGTGGAAGCATATTTAAAAAAAAAAAATTATTATAACATTTATGATATGTAAAATTAACACGTATTTTATTCATTTGTCTTAGAATTTACGTTTTAAAAAACATTATTTTTACGTTACTTGTTCACTTACTCATAAATTGTGTCATTTTGACACTATCAATAAGAAATATTGAATATCAATTCCATAAAAAATCTTCAAATAACATAATCATATTATGTTAAATTAACACTCAAATATGTTAAAAAATTCAACACAAACTGTTAACACAAACGTGAGTGGACCGTTTCCAACACAAATGCACAAATTTTTTTACTGTGTAGATATTTTTCTGTGATATTTTTTTAATTAGATGGAGAGAATCGTGGTAAAAATATTTGTATCGTTTCATACAGAATATGCGTTTGTCACACATGTAATAAAATTGCGGCAATAATAAAATAATTTTTGTCAAATTCTATCGTCTTAATTTTGCAAAAATAATACATAAAAAATATTAATGATTTATTTTATTTAATATTACTCGTGTAACGAAATCATATACAAGTTGCGAACGTAATTGTAACTAAGTATATGTAACAATCATGTAAGTTAGAAGGGTCTGAATTACGAAATGCATTACAAAATTATGTGACTTTTAACGCGGGAACGACAAAAAATTTTTTTAGCATAAACATAAAGTATAGAGAAAGAGGACTGAAAAATCAAATAATACATTTTAATATATATATATACTTGCTAGACTTTTTTATACTTTATGTAATTAATTCTGTAATAATGCTTAATCTCATTATATAATAAACATTAAGCATTGTTGCAAAGTAGAATTATAATTTTTATTATTGCTGCAATAATTATCTTTTTTATTCTTAATTTGTCATAAATTATATATACTTTGAAATATACATATATAAGTACTGTATTTTACTGTTTTTATCAGTTATACATAATTTTCAGCTTATATGTATAACTATATTGGTGTATCAAAAGAAATGCATGCTTGTGTGGAAAAAAAGAGATTAAAAATACAATAATATGCATAAAAGTTAATGTTTTTGTAACTGGATTTTCCAAGGATAATTATTAAGGAACCGCATTTTTTTCCCATATAATTGCGGTTATCTGTTTCACAATGCTTCCTATTCCGATTCATAAGTGTCGTAAATTCGTTGAAACGACGAAATTATTATTCTTAATGCAAAGGAATTATTACTCATCGACTTATTACTCGGAATTATTACTCGAGGTCGTCCAAGAAAAAAATCTCATTCTTTTCGCGGCAGAGTGCTCCTGAATTTTCCTTTTGCGATCTGATAAACCGCTGTGTCTAATAGATGTTCTCCCTATAGAAAATTGTTGATGCCAACATGTGACGACTGATTACATTTACATTAGCATCTGTCACTGTCTTGGAAGTGGTGCTGAGAATGTCATTTATTCGCGATTAATTTATTCTATGAAATCAAATGTGCGAAAGTCATCGA